TCATGAGCTCGCTCAACTGCATCTTCAGCAAGCACGATGGCATCAGGAACTACATCGCCTCCAAGCCAGCATTCCCCATGTACATCGATGAAATTTATGACAGGGACAATAATGGCAAGGCTTGTTTCTTCAACTTGAAAAGTCCTGGAGTGAAGAAGCGTTCCAGAACTGATTTCCCCTACAACAGTGCCTCGGTGCAGGGACTGCATCAGGTAAGCAAACTCTTCTCCAGCTTCAGCTGTGTAATAGCTAGTCAAAACATAAATACCCTTTCTGGAACCATAGGAAGGCCCAATGATGTTACGGAGGGTGTGAAAATCCACAGTCATGTTCCGGATGCTGTCATAGATTGAAAAAAGGTGGATATTTGACGAGGTGTCAAACATGTAGGAAAGCAGAATCGGCAAGGCCTCAGTGGATCCGCCGGTGTTATAGCGCAGATCAATAATCAGGTTCTCTGTGTCTTTGACTGGTTGCCAGACCTTTTCTTTGATTCGATCCTCTAGTCCTATCAAAATTGTAGGTGAAGGGAACCTGTCAAAGCGCAGATATCGATTGTTTCCTGATAGAATTTCCAACTTGAATAAAGAGTCAATAAGATTATCAAAAGATGAAGGGGTTTTGGGTGTTGTATCCAGTTCTTGCCCCTTGTCAGACGATTCTTGCATTGTCTTGATATTTAAACGAGGGTCTTCAAAGACTGACTGCAGCTCATAATTAAGTTTTGCTGCCAAGTCCTCTTCAGAAATCACTGTGTAAAAGTCTGTTTTAGCAAGATGATTTAGCAAAGCTGGGATTTTCTCTTTAAATGCATAAAATTGTTTAATGATATCTGACAATCTTTTAACTGCTTTCGGTATTGCTTTCCTGACTGCAATGAGGGACTTGGCTTTGGCGATTCCTTCCTTTGGGTTGATGCTGACGGATGGCGAAACCCCGGTCACCTCCCAACTCTGTCCTGTGACAGGGTTCACAGATCTAGCAACAGGAACCGTAATATAAAACCCAGAGTCCCCAACCCTTAGCTTTTCAACCTTAACCGACCCTCCAGCCGACCTTTCTCCAACAATGATGGCTCTTTTTAGATGTTTTAAGATGTAGGCAACAGCTTCTGCTGCGCCCATGGTGCGCTTGCTGATTAAAACAATCAGCTCTTTTCTTTTCCCATATCGTTCACCCAGGAGATTCGGAATTGTCCATAGCGCCATTGTTGTGTTGGTAGGTCGTTCATAGATTGTGTCTATGTACAAAAGTGGTTCAGAGTCAGAAAAATATGAAACAATGTATGGCACACCAGAGATCTCTCCGGCTGTGCTGAAACGCAGATCAAAGATCATCGCTGACGTATGTGCAACCTTCTTCCAGATGTTGTCGTGAAGGAGTTGTCCCAGTTTTGCCACAGTCTCCTGACCTATAATACGGTCAATCCTAAGGTAACCGACATTGTTATCCATCACCTCCAGTTTAACAGTATTCCTAATTAGCCGTATCAGCTGTTCAGTGGGCAGCGACTGAAGTGCAGGTGGTGTGATCGGAGCATAATTAGGCTCGTAAGACACGGTCAGTCTGGGGTCATTGAGTGCACCTTGAACGCCGGCAGTCAGAACACCTGCCAGTGTTTTCCGATCAGAGATGTGTAGGATCTCTCCGCTGCTTATAGCTTGTTGAATTGCCTCCTGCATACCAACTAGATTATCTGGGAAGCAGTAGTTTTCGAGCAGAATTTCAGCCATATCCAAGACAAGTGCTGGCTGAAATGATGCATCGATGAGTAGGACCCGACAACCGATTAGGATCAGGGCAAAAAATCTTACAGTCCCTGCCATCTTTTGTAGTTGGTTGTTGAATTTAGTCTAAACCAGACGTTTTGTTCATTCATTTGGTGAAGAGGTCCTTTGTTAGATGGGACTCTGTTTTCTCTGCTAGGTTTTTGACAACAGCAACCACATAAGAGGCTTTTGCTCTGAATAAACCTTTAATCGCATTATCTGCAGTGCATCAGCAATGCAATCACAGATAAAAATTAATAATTGAAAATGTTGGAGAGGATATAAAATCTCTCTGAATACACCGCTTTTTCATGACTTAAAGGGACAGTTCACCCCCAAATCTCACATACGTCTATGGAACATTATATTTTGAATATACTTTTCTTTTCCAGTATCGCTTTGGACCCCATTGACTCTAATTGTTTGGACAAAAACAGTTGAAACATTCTTTAAAATTTGTGTTTCATGCAGATTTGTAATGACATGAGGGTGATGACATGATAAATGATGACAGAATTTTAATTTTTGGGCAAAAACAAGATGTTAATTTTTAAGGAAAGTGTATCATACTGTATTATGGAAGACAAATTGCTTAAGCACTGTATATTTATTAGAAAGTTTAGCACAATTAACTAGTTTATTTAGTCTCAATGTTTTTGACCACATCAGATTTATTGAAAACATTTTAAGCAATAAAATATTAAAAATAGTCAACTGAAATTCTGGAAATTATATTACAGCAAATGTGTGTGTTTACACATATTGTCTTTGGATTATGTTCCTTGCAGCCCTGTCTTCACTGCATGAGGAAAATAAGGTCAAGCTTTCAAAGGTAACGTCTAGGTCAGGCTAATGACATAATTGCACAGGTGAACAGGTGATCGTTTAATGAACATCAAGATGCACTTGGCTGGCCTCATTACATGAAACCATAACAAATTCCTTACCAGTTGATTTAGTACAGTAACAGTATATGAATTTGATTGTATAATCATCAATGCATACTCTTTTCTGCAAGAGGATCATTAATTAACTCTGGCAAAAACTGTTATTCACAGGCCAAATAGTCATTGTTGTTTTTTAAAATCTGCTTCCAGATTTTCTCCCTTCATTCTTTTCTAGCATTTGCCTAAATATCAGAGCATTAGTGTGAATTTAGAGACCCTTGCCACTTTTACAGGATGAAATTATGTAACTCCACACTCACTCAACACTAATTGGTTCTGCACTGCTAATCTTGCTTTATCTTTTAATGCTCAGAGTCTTATGCAATTCTATCTGCTGATTTCATGTGGCCAATCAGGGGTTGCCAATCTAATTTTAAGATGGCTGGAGTTTTGTCCAGTGCATTTTATGGGAGGAAATGTTTCTAAGCTGGAGAAAGAAACAGGTTGACTGTCTGTCCCCGAGTGGTTTGGAAAGGATGTCTTGGTTTTAAAAGTAAATGATGGAGAAATAAATGATAAAAATTGACCAGGATCATTCAAACACTATGATGTTTGTGCCCTAATAAGTTACAAGAGTAGATTTTGTTTATTGTTTGAGGATGGTGCAACTTAAGATCTAATGAATCTTACAAATATTACAAGCCTTTTAGGGTTGTATAAATGTATTAGTCAGTAACATCTGAAGCTAATTGCTTTACCGGACTGAAAACCTTCACTAGCAGAGAGCGCTCACCATACACCACAATGAACTTGTCTTTAAAATGAATTTGGGAGCCCAAATTGAAATGACTTTGATGTGTTTTATTGATGAAATATTTATAAAATTTACAAATTAATAAAATAACTATTGTAAAACTAAATATTTTGTAAATATATATGCTGGAAATACATAAACAAAAACAATGGATTATATACAATTTTTTGTGAGAAAGAAAATATAAATAAAAGAACAAAATGTAATAGTCAGATGGAAAATGTAAGCACAGTAAGTACAGGAAGATTGAATACAATGCTAAGTTATATCCATGGGAGTCACTAGGGGCAGTGTTTTAGGGCTCAAGCCCTGAATGTTTTGGTCTGTAACTAGTGGGAGGTATTGCGTAAGTGCATAAATTATACAAGCATTTCTGTAAATATTTTTGTCTGGATCTACCCAGAATAGGCCAGTTTAGGGGTGGGATGACAGGGGCATTGGCCCTAGCAAAAACACTTAATTACTAAAGAATTAGATATAGATTTATCTAGTGACCCTAGCTGTTCTTTTAAAATGCTTTGAAGCTGTTCTTGTAGATGTGGACCTGACACGAACTCTATGCAAGTACACAAAGTACATGCAAGTTCGTTTTACATGGACAGTGCTGTCAGCTCCTTATTCTACTTTAAGTCCGATCTTACAAATATTTTTATAACAGTCTACCTGGTCAATACCACATCCTGATTAATGCCAGAAGTATTTGGGGCCGATACTCTATCGCCCCCTTGAGGTTTCTTGCTAGTATGTACAACAGGACCACATGCTTGGCCAAGCATTGACATCTGTTTTTGTGTAGAGTATGTTTCAGTATTAAAATGTAAAACAAAAATCTCTAAGGGGGATTATAGACCCTGATGTTTTGGTCTATGTCCCAGATGCTGTCAGATCCTAGAAACGCTCCTGGGTATAACCTCAACTAGTTCACATAAATTAAGTGAAAACACAATACCATTTAAATCAAGTTAGGAAAGCTGACTTTAACCAAAACCTCTTAATTAAAAAAATTTAACCTTTTAATTCCACAAAAGTTACTTTATTCACTCCTAAAAATAAAGGTTCTAAAAGTTTTTTTTTTTTTTTGAGGTGATGCCAAAGAAAAAAAAAAAATTTTTTTTGCCCAAATAACCTTTCAATGATCAGTTCTTAAAATAATTTTTTTTATTAGTGTGAAGAACATTTGAATAATCTGAAGACAACTTTTCCTCTCTAAAGTCACTTTACAATAAGGTTCAATTAGTTCCATGTTAGTTAATGTATTAACTAACATGAATGAACAATGCATTTATTACAGTATTGATTAATCTTTGTTAATGTTAATAAAAATAGTCGTTCACTGTTAGTTCATGTTAACAAGCACAACTTTTGATTTTAATAATGCATTAGTAAATGTTGAAATTAACATGAACTAAGATCAATAAATGCTGTAGAAGTATTGTTCATTCTTAGTTCATGTTAACTAAAGTAGTTAACCTTATTCTAAAGTGTTACTGAAGTTTTTGTGCAATGGAAAGCCTCCATGGATGTTAAAGGTTCTTTGCTTTTAAGAGCATAGTGGAAAAAGGTTCTTCTGATTATTAAAATGTTCTTCACCATAAGGAGAAAATGGTTCCCAATATGGGGAACACAATATGGTTCTTTTGTTGCATTGCTACAAACCCCTTTTAGAACTATTATTTCTAAGAGTATATTTCACAGATGGGAATGATAAAACAAATACTGTTGCAAAGATATTTTATACAGATGCATGGATAAGCAGGCAAAACTACCTACATCCACACTTTGCTACTTTCATCTCCTCGTAGAGGTGTCGGACCGTGATAACACCCTTTTCTTGGTACATGACTGCAATTGGATCCAGCTTGGTTGGGACGCAACATGCCATGTTTGCCTTTTTGGGATTGCTCAGGTTAACCAGAGTTTGGATGATTGCATGTTTAGAGGGGGTTACATCATCTGTCAGGGGGAAATAACACACGCCTTTACACTCGTAAGCGTCATACTCGGGCGGGGCCACGATCCATTTATCCCATCCGATGTCTTTGAAGTTCACCTTCAGAGAAGTTCTCTGACAGTAATTGTTTGTTACTTTCCTCTTCTTCCTGTAGTGCTGGTTCACAGGAACATGATTGCCCCAAAACACCCGCTGCTTCTCATGAAGAAGCATCTCTTTTACCTCTTTCATTGACTCTCCCTTTCTGTTCCCGAGATCATTTGAAAATACTATTACGACTGCCGAGCTGTTGTCCTCCAAACCCAGGCTTATATCAAGGGATTCACAGTCTTGTTCGATCTCCACCTGAAGTTCGCCGACCCCACGTCCAGATTCGTGCCAGCTCCTGACAGCTCTGGTCACGTCAAAAGCCTCCCAAGTGTTTTCGCCCTCAGTTACGTCTCTCCCATCTAGAAGATTTAACATGTTTGCATTCTGCTCGCAATCTACATCATAAACATTGATGGATGTGAAGAGGTCAGTGCAGGTGTTTTTACTTCTTTCCCAGAGAGTGAACAGCCTCAGCTGGACTGATGTGATCTCTTCATGATTTGGGATGGAAATGTTGAATAGCAGTCTGTGTTGTGTTTTGTTGCCCTGTCTAATGGAATAAATAACATCTGCAGAGAACATGAAGTAGAGATTAATAAACCTTTTCACCAATAAACAAGTCACAAACATCATTTTTTGTATGGAAAAAGTGAATGAGTCCTGTCATCAGAAACATTGACTCCTCACCTTCCCAGAACTCTGATGCATGTACCTCAGAGTTTGTGAGCTTTCCGTATGTACTTACCCTGTATGACGAAGCTTCGGATGACATCCGACCGAGGGATGGAAGTCTTGTCAGAAGCATATTTATTATAGAGTTCGATCATGAACTGAGGAGGCTGAACCTTTCGTTGTTCTTGCGGCACGCCTGATAAATTCAGCTTCCTCAAAAAATCTTCCTTCATGAAGCCCAAATAGTTCTCCAATTTGGAGTTAAAGTCATGTTGTTCCTCAAGGCTTTGTTCTTCTGCTTGAATGAACATTGTGTCTTCCAAACTGGCGATTTCACCTAAAGATTTCCCATCGCAAAGCCCAACTGAAGTAGCAAAATTGATGGACATCAGGAGGAGCAAATATCGTAAACCCTGCATCTTCATTTAGTTTCTAAAATGGATAGGTGACTTTCCGCTGCAAGTTTTACATCCGACATTCGTTTGTGGACGATCCTTTGAAATCGGGGTTCCTCAAGTGAACCTCAGGTTAACTCCCATACCCCACACTCTCTGGAAACCAGAACAGTAGCATAGCTATTCTTATCTTTGACACTGATGTTGTAGTTCGAGCTTTGTTATCTTGCGGAAGCTTGTAGTTAATGAGGGTTCTGTAAACACTTTGGGAACAGACTTTGAAAACTAATGAGTGAGATTTTAACAACCGTTATTTACAGGGTCAGACTTCAGGCTGTTTTTAGAAAAGCAACTCCATCATATGTTTGTTAAGATGCTTCTACTAATCAGCCTTAGCTATGATAAATATTAACATTATAGATTCCAGTGCTTTCTTTCATTTTCATTTAGTCAACCACCCACTAAAATTCAAAAGCTGGAATCTGGCTGTGCAAGGGTTAATGGGTCTGCGTTGACCTTTGCCCTGTTGGTGCAAACAATCTATGCTCCTAATACAACTCATTAGGTCTTTATTCACAAAAAAATCCTCCAGGATTTCAAAAAAGAAACACACACACACACACAAATATACCAAAACAACAGTGGTTGAAGATTCTTGTTAAAGAAATATTTGCAAAAAAGTAACAATACAGTTTAAAAAAATAAATAATTACAAATGACGTGTAATTGTTATTAAATACAAAACTCTCCCTTAATGAAGTTTCATGAATCTTTGACAAAACCTCTGAGATGTTATTTTTTTTTTAACTTAATCCCTAATTTAATTATTTGTCTATAGCTATGGCTGTTGTAATTTACAGGGTCTGTCCTCATAGGGATAAAACTCCTTGATATGAATGTCTAATCACAAAGCACTAGATGGCAGCATTATGCTGAATTTTCTTCATATTGTCGGTCTTCTCACAAATGACCAAAAATGATCTGCAGTTTTCTATTCATGCATGATTCCAGGTGTTTAAACCCTAGGTAAATCTTTAGCCAACAAGCCTGCAAATCAAATAAAAGACCCCCTGTTTAAGGATTTATGATAACACTTTACAGTAAGTTTCATTTGTTAACATTAGTTAACTTCTTTAGTTAGCCACAACTAACAATACTTCTGCAGGATTTATTAATCTTAGTTAATACTAATTTCTACATTTACTACTAATAATTTTTACATTTAAAAGTTGTCTGTTAACATTAGTTAATGCACTATGAACTAACATGAAAAAACAATAACACTATCACTAACAAAGGTTTATAAATGCTGTAAAATGTTCATGCTGACTAATGCATTAACTAACGTTAACAAATGAGAACTTATTGTAAAGTGTTACCGGATTTATTTACAGTAATCCATTTAAATCGCTATGCCATTTTCAGTTTACCATGGATTTGTTTCAAAACGAAAACAGTTCGGCTTACTATATGTTACAATAAGGATTATATACAATTCATTCAAAATTAAAGAGTGGAAAGAGGATACAATGTTTGTGTGCAAAGATCCTATATTATCTGAGGTGCTGAGGTCTTACTTGCAGAGATAAAAAAGTTCATTTTTGTAATATGGCGTGCTTCGGCAGTCCCTTGAGCTGAGTTCATTGAGTTTTGCAAGTTTTGTATATCTATGTCTCTTAGCTACCTTGCTAGTTTATCGACAGGTGCAGGTATCCACAGACATGCTGGGATAGACCTTCACGACCATGTTTCTGCTGGAGTCCAGGAAGAGCACAGCCAGAGAGCTCATCTTGTCCGGTACGCAGCACGGCTCTGGGACTCCAGGGACGATCCCCACGGCTCTCACTATACTCTGGATGGTGGCGTGATTGGATGGATGAACAACCTGCATTTGGAGAAGTAAAGGTTGAAGAAAAACTGCTGTCTGTTAACTAGATCATATAACAATGCCTCAGTGCCTTTCTTAATGTCTTTATGTTAACAGCAAGAATGATAGCTATAAAATTAGGGATGTAAAGATTCACTCAACTCACGATTCTATTCATGATTTTTTTTTTAACAAAATGAGCTTTAAGACAAATTATAAATTAAATGTGTCCTTTTATTATTGCTTGGACAAAATACTGTTTCTTTGTGAAATTGAAATATAACACTATAATAATATACTAATATAGCACTTGTAAATTATTGCTCTTTTGTTGGTTTTGATTGCTTCTATTGTCTTCATTTGTTAGTCGCTTTGGATAAAAGCGTCTGCTAAATAACAAAATTTAAATATAATGTAAATGTAAATAACAAAACTAAATAGAATTTAGAATAGAACTAGAATAGAAAGATTTTAAAACAAGCCCCAAATCAAATAAATAAGTAACACAAATAAAATAAATGTCTTCATATAAACAACTAAGGCTTTGTCTGTGCTCTTTCCATTTAAAATTAGAGGCAACCACTGCATTTTAATAATGATCCAAACAAAGATGCTGCATACATGCAACATGAGCAGTTTTTAATCTAAATTAGATTGTATAATTTCGAAATTTGAAGCAAAAACAGAATGCTTTGACTTCAGTTTTGTGAAACTATGCATAAAAATTATCTGCATGAAACAGAAACAGCAGACGAGCTGAATGAGACGCAGATTCACTCTCTGCCAGCAGGTGGCGCTTAAAGCGTTTCCTTGGTTTCCGCTGTAAACAAAGCAGCGCTGCACTTAAGAACTTTAACATTATATGTTATTACAGTTTATACATTATACAGAGGCAAGAGGAAAGAAAAAATACCAGCGAAAGACAGTAAGTTCCCCTCAGACAGAAAAATTTAAGGGGGTCTGAATACTTTCCGTACCCACTGTATTCAAATCGATTTTCAACAGGCTCTTGGTTAATTGTTACATACCTAATATAAAGAGAACCATAACGATAACTACATTAGCGCCAACACACAATAACGTTCTGCTGCAGTTTTGTCATGTGTTTTGGAGGAGGCGTGGCTTTAGAGAGTGATTAGGGTGGGATCTTATGCTTTCAAAGCTAGCTTGCTATTGATAGCCTTTCCAAAATCGCCTACCCCACCTTTAAATGCTCATGCATTTTTTAAGTCAGGTGAATTCTGATTGGCTCTCAGTGTTTTTATCATTCATCAGTAAGAAAAAACGGATTCCAACATTATTGTTCCTTTGTGTCTTTGTTGTTGTGGTGTGAACTTTCCTATTCTCCTATTCTTAAAACTTTATCTTTGTCATTTTAGTTATCATCCTTGGTGTGAATGGGCCAGTAGTCCTATAATGAGAACTATAATGCACAAAATATTACATTTTGAAATGGTGTGTAGGGATGTAATGATGCATCCCGAGCTGGTTGAAAATCAATATAAATATGTAACGATTCAAGTTGGTTGAGAAGTTAAATTAATCATGATATACAATTGGGGTGGGGGTTTATATAAATGTATCTCTAAAGGGAACTGACTGTCTTCAAAAAAGTTTAGATGGTATTTTCTTTAATATTGCCTCTGTATAATGCATATTAAAGTAATGTTTATAAGCGCTGCGCTGCTTTGAGTGAATTTGTGTTCTCATTCAGCCCGTCTGCTGGTTTTGTTTCATTCAGATGATTTATGTAGTATAGTTTCACAAAGCTAAAGGCCGACCATTCTGATTTTGCTTTACATTTTTAAATTATGCAGCATCTTTGTTTTGATTGTGATTAAAATACAGCGGTTGCCTCTAATTTTAAATGGAAAGAGCACAGGCAAAGCCTAAGTTTGTTTTTATGAAAAGGTTTCTTTTATTTGTGTTATTAATTGATTTGATTTGAGATTTTATTTTTTTTCAATTCAGTTTTGTTATTTAACATATTTCAATTTCACAAAGAAATTGCAGCATTTTGTCTGAGAAATAATAAAAGGACACATTTTAATTTATAATTTGTCTTAAATATCATTTGCTGAAAAAAATTGTGAGAAAATTGTATCGTGAAATCAGTATTGTGAATCGTATCGTATCGTATCGCATCGTGTGTTCAGTGAATTGTTACAGTCCTGGGAATTTTATATTTACGAGTTGGAAAGTCGTAATTACGACGTCAGGTGTGTTCAGGTCACTTTGGTCGGAGCAAGATGGCGATGTACCATTTCCACCTAAAATTCAGCAAGATTTTTTAACTGTTTTACTATAAGTGAAACTCGGGGCTTAAATAAATTTCTGAGTTTCCCACTCATAATTACGCCTTTGTGGTGGCGTTCATGTGCGTTCAGCTCGTAAATACAATCTATCTGACATGACTTGAATGCACCATGTTCTACTACCAAATTTGCACAATGATTATATGGACTATAATTGGCTCTTATAACATGGCACTATGAATACTTTATTCTTATTGGTCAGTTGCAGCATGAGGACCTCAAGCGATCCCATTGGCTCAAAGAAGTTTTAACGGACACTCTCTTTAATGCCTAATTACAATTCCTACAAAATTACTCTATGATAGGCTATATGTTGTTCGAACTACATTATAATGCCATTAATGTCTGTTTTAGTTATCTTACATACTAGCATAGCATACAGATTTGTGATTAGCCTGATAGCTTAGCTTATTTGCATTTACAGAAAATGTACTGACTGTATTCAGTGTAATTAAGTGTTAAATGACCAAATATTTCAATTATGAAAATAACAATGTAAAAGGTCAATGTACACTGACCTTTGGGATTGGGAATCCACATGTTCCTGCACAGTAGTAGGCGTCAAATGCTTTCGGGGCCAATATCCATTCGCTCCAACCGATGTCGGCAAAGTCCACCCTCAGGTAACGACGCGAACACATTCTCGGCTCACTCCACTGCTTGCGTCTGGCTTTTTTCATGGTCTTCTCGTCAAAGCTGAGCTCCCTTGACCCTCTCAATCCCTCATGATTTTCCTGACCTTTTGACAGGGTTTTGGGCTTTTTCGCAAAAAAGGCACCGTCCCATAATTCCCTGTTCTTAAGATCGTTGTATTGGACATCAGGTAGGTAGTTACTCTGCAAGTGTTCCACTTCCCTCCTAATTCTAGAATTTAAAGTAGCTGAGGGCGCTTTGGTCCTGGTGTCCTCATGCACAGCAGATGGACTGTATCTCTGTAGACTCATAGCAACACTGTTGGGCTCCGTTATGGCAATGTCGTCAGCGTATACAAGGATAAACGGCAGGCTGTGAGGAGACAAGCGATCCTGACGTCTCTGATGCCCAAAGTCAAACTCAACGGTAATCGAGAGCTCGCCATTCACATGGGCTTGTTTGATGGCTGATGATACGTCCGTAATCTGCCAAAGCCCCTTTCTGTTAGGAGACAATGTGATGTTGCACAGCTGAGAGGGGACGGCAGCATTTGGTGATGTTCCTTTAATGATGAGATGTGTCGTGGTAAGTGACTGAAGGTATTGGAGGCGACATGAGGCTCCACGGGAACGCCGACAGGCCCAAGGCCGTTGACGAGCTTGTTGGTCAAGAAAGTGTAGAGTTGACGTCAGTATCACCTCCGAATTGGGAATAGCGGTCAGGTTGAAGTGGAACACGACCATGTGATGGGAGATCTCTGAAAAACAACAATTAAAATGGAATAAGGCACAATGAGAAGGTAATTGTTGCTTGTCAACATAGCGTTGGTTTTATGCTCATGCATGCATGTGATTGACCGGTAACGTTTCCAGACAACATCCTCATAAACACATTTTTCACATTCTAGATTTAATATCTGACCACTTTCTACAGTTTACGAGGTAGTTTAATAAAAAGATAAACACGGCTCCTGAATCAGTCTCTGGCCATATGGTAGTGTTTAGTGAGCGGCTCTCAAGGTCTTTTTCTTTCTTTTTTTCCTGTTTCCACTAATACCCTCTCAGTGTTTTAATAGTGCACCTCCAGTGGAAACTTAGCAGCTCTGAAAATATGGCCACTAAAACAATAATGGGAAAAATGCTTTCTGTGCATGCACTCTCCTATATATGATTGATTTTTAATCCTGATGCATTTTCAATAATATGGACTTTTTATGTTATGAATATTCAAAAGCTGGATTATAGGTAATCGTTTTCTTGATCTATTCAAGGGTTTCCAACATACACATAAGGAATGCATAAAACAGAATTATATTGTATTTGAGGAATTATTTAAATACATTGTATATATTTATTAGTTTAGATATTTTAATATTATTAATATAATGTCGTTTATTAAATATAGCTAAAATAATCATTAAAGTCATTAAAATACAAATGCAAAAAAGTATCATTTTGTAAGTGAAAAAACTGATATGAAATATTTTATCAGTACATACACTGCTCTATTTTACATTGTTTTAACAGCAATCTAAGAGTTTGAATTGCGTTTAGCTCGTTTCACTCACCTGGGACTCCTCTAAAGCTTCGGATTGTATTTACGTTCTCTTGTTGTTGTTGCTTCTTGCTGTATTTATCATAAACTCTGTACATATTAACAGTCATCATGTCTCGAGCAGGATTGTGGAATGACGGCTCTGTTGCAGGAATATCTCCGTTCAGTTCTGACGAGTTCCCCAAGTAAACTTTGACGATGTTAAGATAGAGAAAAATGCGTGCCACCGCACAAATTGATGCCATATTGACAAGTAATCCTCCGCAAATCAATTTTAACCCTTTAAAGCGGATCAAACATGAGATGAAAGTGGAAGACTGATGGAAAGCTCGGTTCCGTGTGAGAAGGACATATATTGAGATGCGTCTTGTGGAGTTGGTGGTGTGGATGGAGGATGACTGGTGCTCATACACTTGTTTCTTACTGCTGAAGCGATGACAGATGATGACGTGCCCGGCGTGCAGCCAACGAGAAGCTTAAAGCATCATCCTGAAACCATGCACAGCCATATACAGCTCATGCTGCGTGCGTGCGTGCGTGCGTGGAGGGCTTTCTCACTCTATTCCTATCTCATTGTATTGGACTATTTACACCTTACCATTTAGGCTAAATGTGTGGACGCACTTAATCTTGTTTCTCTTTCTCTTTCCCTGATAGCACACGCACATCACGGAGACGTCTACAAGACGTAGTTTTTAGAGCGTTTGCTCATCTGCAATGATGTTAAATAGACGTTTAGAAAATGTCTTTAAGATGTTTCTGATTTGGAATATGTAAAACTGACATCTTAGAGACCCTATCAGATGTTTGTGCACAGCAGATGCTTTCCAGATCTTTAACAGACATCTTGCAGATGTACGTGTGCTTTCTGGGTTGTTTACCTATAGGCTATAGCTGCTAATAAATCGGAAGTCTCGCACATTCACAGGAAATAGCCGACTTCCGTGTTGAAAAATAAGTTTTCGGAGCATAAGGACCATAATCACAAACCAGTGTTGGGGAAAGTTACTTTTAAAAGTAATGCATTACAATATTGCGTTACTCCATAAAAAAAG